ATGCCAACTTGGTGGCCATCAAGTAATTCATGAATTCCTGTACTTGCCAGACTGTCCAGTTCCTCTAATGGGTGGAGACCTTTTAGCCAAAATGGGGGCAGAAATCACTTTTACTCCAGATGGCTCAGCACAGCTTCGCCTAGGTGGGGAGACCTCCCCAATGATCCTGTCCCTAGCAGTGCCGAGGGAGGAAGAATGGAGACTTTATACCGCCCAGTCAAAGGCCTCACCATTAGAACCTGAATTAGAGAAAGAATTCCTGCTGGTCTGGGCAGAAGGGAATCCTCCAGGCCTGGCTAAGGACCACGCCCCGATACTGATCGACTTAAAGCCTGGGGCACAGCCTGTTAAAATCCGCCAATATCCAATCCCAAGGGAAGCACGCCTAGGAATCCAGGTCCACTTAGACCGGCTGCTTCAGTGGGGACTTGTTAAACGATGCAGGTCTCCATGGAACAGGCCTCTCTTGCCTGTGAAAAAACATGGTACTAATGATTCCCGCCCCGTTCAGGATCTACGTGCTGTGAATGAGGCTGTTATAACCCTGCATTCAGCGCTGCCAAACCCCTACACGCTTCTGGGGCTCATCCCATCAGAGGCGGAATGGTTTACATGCCTAGATCTGAAAGATGCCTTTTTCTGCCTCAGATGGGCTCCTTGCAGCCAGCCTCTTTTCGCTTTTGAATGGGAAAACCCAACTACAGGGGCCAAGGAGCAGTTCACCTGGACCAGACTGCCCCAAGGGTTCACGAACTCCCCTGCTCTTTTTAGTAAAGCACTAGCATGTGATCTAAGTTCCTAGGACAGGACTTGGGGGTGTGTTCTACTCCAGTATGTAGACGACCTCCCACCGGCCAGCTCCTCGCGAGCTCAGTGCCGGGAGGGAACACGGGCCCTTCTGAGACTGTTAACTGAAACAGGTGACAGAGTGTCCGAGAAGAAAGCACAGATTTGTCAGAAAGAAGCCAAGTATCCAGGCTTCCGAATCACCCAAGGGAAACGAAGGCCAGGACTGAAGGGGAGCAGGCAGTATGCACCATCCCAGTCCCTAGCACCCGTCGGCAGATTCGGGAATTCCTGGGAGCGGCAGGATTCTGTCGAATTTGGATCCTGGGGTTTTCAGACCTGGCCAAGCCTCTCTATGAAGCTCTAAGAGGAGAAGAGAAGGCACCCATCGCCCGGGGTCCCGAGCAGGACAAAGCCTTCACCACCATAAAGGCAAAGCTCACTGAGGCCCCGGCACTAGGGCTCCCAGATGTGACGCGAGACTTTAATCTTTTTGTTCACGGGAACAGCGGGGTAGCCCTAGGTCAGCGAAGGCGAACCTTTTGAGCTCGGCGTGTCAGCATTTTGAAAAACCCTAAGTTAACTCTGGTGCCGTGTCACATATAGAAATTTTTTTATATTTGCAACCACAGTAAAACAAAGATTTGTATTTTTGATATTTATTTTATATATTTAAATGCCATTTCACAAAGAAAAATCAACCAAAAAAAATGAGTTCGCATGTCATAGGCTCGCCATCACTGGCCTAGGAGTTCTAACCCAAGCGCTTGGACCCTGGCAAAGACCAGTAGCCTATCTCTCCAAGCAGATTGACCAGTTGCCTCCGGGTGGCTCCCGTGTCTCAGGGCCCTTGCAGCCACGGCATTGTTAGTCAAGGAAGCGGATAAGCTTACCTTAGGACAAAACTTAAATGTAAAAGTACCTCATGCTGTTGTCACCCTCATGGAAGCAAGGGGGCAGCACTGGCTGACTCATGCTCGGATGACTCAATACCAAGGATTGTTATGTGA